TCGGCCCCGCGCCCGCTGCTCGCAGCCCCCGGCAGAAGCGTCAGGGGACGGCGGCGAGCGGGAGGAGCGCGCCCCTCCATCCCTCGGCATCCAAAACCCGCGCTCGCATCCATCCAACAGAAAACCTGCAAAGCGTCGGCCGGGCATCGCCGCACAGCATCGCCCGCGCTCCCTCCCCCAGCCGGGACCGTGCAACCGAAGCGAGCGTGGGAGGGATAATTACCTCTAAGCGTACTTAATACTACAGTGCATTATCTCTAGCTATGGAGAAACATGCTATCCGGCAGTATTTCCCCCAGAAGCCTCATCGAGCTGCTCTCTGAAAACTCTCCGGAGCCCCGTGAAGCGGTAATAGAAAGTCACCGGCAGCCGGGGAAGGCGTCGGGCTGGAAGCGTGCCGGCTGCTCGCGGCCGGGCGAGGATGCCGCGAGAGGAGCCGGGAGCCTCCCGAGCCCAAGCGCCCCGCCGCCGGAGCAGGGACACTGCAGACGGCGGCGGGTGGCAAGTGCCACCACCGAGACAAGCCCCGGCCGTCGGCCGAGCCAGAGGAGCATCCCGGCCGAGAGGCGGCTCGGCCGCGGCGCCACGCTGAGCGGCGGGCGAACGGAGTTCACGTTTCCAAGTAATTTACGGCTCACGCCGCCAAACTCGCAGGTTGCGATCCGCTCGCTCAAAATCCTTCATTTCCAACACGGGAAAAGAAGGGCGTGACGTCCGCCGACAGCACCACTGGCAGTTTTCAGGCGGGTCCCGTTTTGAGGCAGAGAAAGGGAAGCGGGAGGAGGGAGATAAGACAAATAGATGGCTGGACTACGTGTAAATTTGCCAAGAACAGAGACGGCGTGTGCCCGTGCGACAGCACAGCCCCCGGCGCGGTCCCCGCCCCCCCCGCCTCCGGGCTCCCACGCATCCCCCCGGCCGACCCGAGCCAGTAACGGGGCTGCTGGGATGCTCTTCCGCAGAACAGTGCCACTCGCTCTGGCATTAAAAAAAAAAAAAAAAAAAAAAATCATAAAACCCACCCTGTACCTCAGCGCGCGTTTCAAACAGGAGCAGAAATTTTCGGGGGGGGGAGAAAGCGGTGAAAGGCCTGCCCAGCCCGGGGCGGAGGGGAAGGCTGAGCCCCCCCGAGCAGCCGCCGAGCGCCACGTCCCGCGGGACCCGGCGCATCATCCCACGCCACAGCACCCCCTCGCCCCGGCTCTCGCTCTCAGGCGCTGGATTTTTCTCCCTTTGTACCTCCACTTATACCGCACGACTGTTTTGAATCTCTAAAATAATGTGACAAGTTAATGATGGCACAATTATCTAAATGTTTAACAGACATGTTATCTAAGTGAATCGGATTGAGATTCCATCCCGCTGACAATAAACATCAATGGGAGAGCAGAAAGTGATAGGCAAATTATCGCCAACCCTGCAATTTCGATGCTATTAAATTTGGAGGAATAACAGCCCTGAGGCCTGTAAACTCTGAATAAAATAGACCCTTGTGTTTGGCCAACTATTAAATCAAAACGCTACCAACATCCCAGGGAAAAAAAAAAAAAAAAAAAAGAAAAAAGGGGTGTGTGGGGGGGGGAGAGAGATTTATAGCTTTTCAATTTTCAGTTACACGTTGGTTTTATTAACTCTTTTCTGCTACCTGTGTCCCGGTGCCGGCACCGCCAGCCAGGGGATGCGAGGGATGGCGAAGGCTCCCGCGCGCCCTCCGCAGAGCGGCCGGGGGCACGCCGACCCCAAGCCGAAGGGGGTACGCTCCAACGTCAGGCGTCGAGCGCGCCCGTGTGAAACTGGGTCAGGAGCGAAGGCGTGCTGGCCTGCCGACTGGCACCGGCCGCCCGGCGCGGACACGCGCGCGTTAATGGCCTTGGCACCCAGGAGGGAACTCTAGACAAGTCACCTCTGATATTTATAAAAGGCGGCGGCGCGCCCGACCCCCGTGAGCAGGAACACCAGCCGTGTGAGCATCCCCAGCCCCAGCGGCGCTCGCTGGGGTGGGGGTGGGGGGGCACGCAGGCTGTCTTCTCGACGCACTCCGTTTTTTCCTCTACATTTTAGGAGAAGGGCAAGGAATTTTCCACGCTCCCCCGCCTCCGGCATGGCACCGAGCTTGCGCTGCTGGAAGATGAGCCAAAACAGTTGCTGCTTTTCCTATTGCCACGGGACGGGGGCCAAGGACAGCGAACACCCGGAGAGGGCGTCTCAGTCCCGAGTCGCTGGGGCTGTACGCAGCACACAGCCACCTCCGCGCTTACAAGCAGAAACTAGTTTTTCTCTCTTCATTATTATTTTTTTACCTCGCCTCAGAAAGCAGGGCGTAGGCCTGCTGCTGCGAGAGACCGGCAGCGCTTGGTGCAGCACGGGCACGGCAGCCTGGCTCCTGTTTTGCACTGTCATTCGGAGGAGCAGTGAGGGCAATGGGAAGAACAGTCAGTGAGATGAAGGGGGGTCCCGGATCCCAACCGTCCACCCGAGAAGTGGCCCCATACGCTGGAAAGAAACCCTGACAGCCCTCGAGCTTGCCCATCCGCTGCAGAAAAATCTCTGCAGCCGCAGGTCACCCAGAGAAGCGGCGAGCGCTTGCAGACAGTCCCGCGTCCCCCGCCACGCACCGTGTTTCTGAGCAACGTGGGTACCTTTGGTCAGGCTGTGCCAGACAGACGCTGCTCAGTTTTCGCTAACGACCTTGAAGGAATCTCCCTGCCTCTCTACCAGAAAAGGGTTATTTTTGTGCCTGGAAGGTTGGAAGGCCTTCTGCCAACCAACCTGCCGCTAAGGGCAAAGGGAGGACGCCCCCCGCCCCTCCCCCCCCCAAAAAATCCATTCCAGGAGATGCCGTTATTTGGGAACGGGGTTAATTATAGTGACGGCAGGGGAGGGACGCTTTCCGTGCCAGGGCAGGGTGCTCTGCGTGCTGCCCGAGGAGAGGAAGCGATTCATTCCGGCCGCCCCAGCCCCTCGCCGCCGCGTAACCGAGCCGCCCGTGTTTGCTGCCGGAGGCGGCGATGGCAAACTCGCCCCGCCGGGGTCACCGCGTCCCCCGCGCTCCGTGTCCCTGTCGCCCTTTGAGCTTTGGCGCGGTCCAGCCCCCAGGTTTCAGCAACCGAAGGGGCTTAAACCCCCGCAAAAGGGTCAAGGTCGCTAGGAAAACCGCGCAGCTGCGCTGCATGGGCGGGACGCTTTGGGGCGCAGGGCTCGCTCAGCAGCACCCGCTCCCGATGCCGGGGTTACGGAGCCCTTGGGTAGCGAGGGGGGGGGCTGGGGTCCCACTGACGGCCCCGGGGTGCTCAACGGCTCCGGGAAGCGTAAGGAAACGGGGAGCTACCCGCTCTGTTTGCTCGGCCACCTTTAGCTCCCTGCCCGGGCTTGGGTCGCTCGCCGCAGAACCGTCAGTCCCCTCGCAGGCCCTCTCCTCCTCCTTAACCCACAGCACATGCCGTTCTTAAAAAGACCCTGAGCTGCAAAGCCTGGCCTCCAGCCGTACGACCCCGGCTAAGGAGGGCAATTACTTTACAATTTACGAACTGGTGCTGGGCCAGCGCAGCTCCCAGATCAGATGACGGCCGCAGCTATTCCCGCCCGGTGACGCAGCACTTTGCCTTGCTGGTCGGTCCTCAAATCCCCGGCGTGAAGCCGGCCAGGCTCTCCGCGACACCTCCGAGCCTAGCCCCGGCCATCAGTGGCATTTATCAGGGTTTTCAGCACTGAAAGATGAGCTCCTGCCCAGGCAAACTGCTCCCGATAGAGCGCGGCGAGGAGCCGGCACATTTTCCCGCTGCAGCTGCTTTTGGGGGTTTGAAAGGCTCCACCTGGGGCTGCCCGGCCGCGAATTCCCCCGTGCCCCATAGCCAACCCTTCCTGGGCAAGGCGGCCGTCGCGAGAGGCATAAAGAGCTCCTTGTGCTCCCCGACGGGCCGGGAAGCACCGCGGCAGAAGCCAAGTGCTGAGCCCCGCTTGGAACGGGACGGCGTTTTGCCTGCAGAAGGCAGAAATTACCCGGCGTTTGCTGCGCCATCGTTTCCCACGCGCATACGTTACCGCCGAGCAGTAAAACCCCGCGGCGCCGTGCGAACCGCTGCTTCGGACCCGGGGTTTGGCGGGAGAGGAGCCGGGGCCACCTCGCTCCTGCAAAGCACAGGCGCCAGGCCGGGGAATTAATTGTCTGAGCTGCAGAGCCAGGCGGGGCTCACCCCGCGGCAACCGCTCCGGTCGGGGCCTTAAGCCCAGGTGAGCACGGGGGAAAGAGGTTTTCTGTGCACAGCCGGGTCCAGCCCTCCCCAGAGCCCCCTCCCGGGTCATCATTTCCCGTGAGCGGCCACGCACCCGCTGCACAGCCCGACTGTCCAGCAGACACTCGTGCCCACGTACACCCAGAGCTGCAGATTACATCTTTATTCCTACGAACGCTCTCAAAAGCAGCAGCAGACCCGTCAGCACAGGCTGGGATTTGCAAAGGGTTCCTAACTCATCACTGGTAGGCTCCGGAGCATCCAAACGCTCCTGACAAGGGTATTTATCCTTTGGAAAGCTGCTCTTAAACCGGAAAGGCGGCCAAGCGCCGTCACGCTGGTCCAACGTTGGTGCGCGCGCCTTGGGAAACCACGGGTGAGCAGCGAGCGGTGCGAGGATGCTGGGTTTAACCACAGAGACAGGTCGTGCTCCTCCTCCCGCCAACAGCACCGCTGCGACCTCAGCAAAACGGGCCAACCCGAGCCACCGGCAGCCAAGCACCCAAAGCCAAAAGCCGGCCGGGGGGAGGTTTCCCTCGCAAACGCCACACGCGGGTTGCAACGCAGGTCCCGCAGCGCTTCCAGTCAAGAGTCCGGCAGAAAACGCGGCCAGCTTACCTTAATCGAGGTAAAGCCCGGAAACAGACCTGGGCAGGTCAGAAGCGGCAGCCGCGAAGGGTTAGGCTCTCCGTCGGGCCAAAGCTTACAGAGGCAGCCTAAATATTAAACTTGCGCCTAAGCGAGGGGCGGAAAGGGAGGGCCACGTACCGGTGTGCGTCTGCCTGTGCGTCTCCAGGGCGTCTTCCTTCGAGAACTGGGCGCCGCACTGATCGCAGACCAGGGCCTTGGCGCCCGCTGGGGAGAGAAAGGGGAGAGGAGGGTTACTGGGGGGACGCCCGCCCCAACCCGCGCAGGGGGGGCGTCGCGGCCGCCGCCGCCTCCGTAAAAACCGCGGGACCTGTTTCGGAATTTACGCCCCCCCTGCAGCCTTGCTTGACCCCGCGGTCCCATTCCTTGCGCATAACAGCACGGCGCCCAATAAGGAGTTGTTTGCCAGGAAGAAATTATGTATTTCTCAGATTTCGGGGTTTTTTTTTTTTGATGTTGTTGTTGTTTGCTTTTTTTTTCTCAAAAAAAAAAAAAATCATTAAACATCAATGCGTTTCATTAGCGTTGTAACCGATCTAATTGTAATTGGTTTCCTGCCCCTTCCCATCGCAGCTGCCGTTGCCGGTAGCCGAGGACGCAGCTGGTCAGAGATGTGGCTGAAACGGCGCGACTGAGCGAGAAGCTCAGAGGCGTCTTCGACTACTGGAGAGAGACGTGGAGTTGGGGGGGGGGCGAATTCTTAGAAAATCACTATCAACATGTGCTGCTAGTTCGGCCGAGGGAAAAAACAGGATGCCCGGCAGCAGATAAGTAGCTTCCAGATTAAAACAGATGAACGATACACACCACATCTGAAGCATCGCTGCCGGGACCAAGCCGCGGACCCATTTCTTAGATTTCAAGGTTGGATTAATCCACCATGAGGAGCCGAGCGGGGCAGGGCGGCCTTCGAGGCGGGGGCATCGCTGCGCTGCGTGCCACGCTGCCCATTTCCAGGGGTCCAGCCCCAGCCCCCTCCCGCCCCCTCCCGCCCCCCCCCCCCCCCCGATGCGATTTGGAGAAAGCTGCACAGAAAAGGTGACGGGGAGAGAGGCAGGTAGCACGAGGCGCATTAAAAAGAGAAATCCTTCGCCTTTAAATTGTCTCGGTAACGGCTGGCTCGCAGGCAGAAATATTTGGCAGCGGCGAAATTAAAAGTGATAAATTTTCTCGCCAAGCGTTGATCGATAATAGAGGTCTCATCTGTTAATCAATACGACAGTCTGCCTGTTTACTGTGCATATGTTGTTCTCCGCCGCCCTCGCCGTGATGTCAAGTTTGCATTCAAAACAACCTGAGTGCGCACGGGCCGCTCGCGAAGGGAGAAACGTTCCCCCCTCCCCACCCCCAAAAAAAAAAAAAAAAAAAAAGGGGGGGGGTGCGCATTGGGGCAACGGGAGGAGGGTGGCCGGGGGGGTGCGCACCCTGGATGTTTTGGGGACGCAGGCTCTGCTGGTGGTCCCCTCCTCCCACCCGCGGCCAGGGATGGACGGGGCCGTGGCCGCCCCCCCCTCGGCGTGCCGGCGCAGTGATGCTCAGCTGGCAGTTGCCACGGAGATGCCCCCCCCCCCCCCAGCTCTCCCACCCCACCGCTGCGGAGCGGGACCCCCGCGGATGCAGCAAGGGGACCCCCGGGGCCGGGGTCCCGCCGCTCGACGCCGGGTTTGCTTTTCCCTCCCCCCCTTTCTGCGTGGGGCGAGGACACACGTGCGGGTGCCCCCCGAGAGCAGCCCCGCGGGGGCACGGCAAGGAAAGGGCAAGGCGGCCAGCATCTGGCCGGGGGGCGGGCGGCGGGGGACCGAAAAAATTCCTGGCGAGGCGAAAATAAACAGGGCGAACGGCGGGAGGAGCCGGGCGCGCTCGCTTACATAAGGAAGCACAGCGTGTACCAAAACAGCGGACCCAAAAAAAGCCGGAGCTGTCAGAACAATGAGTACAGACGAGGGGCATTTTACAGCAGGCGCTGCCGTACAGTTTTATTTACAGTACCTCTTATCAGCGCGGGAACAGCACGCCGCCTGCCAATTTCCAAAGGCCAGGACTGCGTGTTCTTTCCCTCAAGTAGATGTGTACTCCAGGCGGGGGAATTTTTTTTTTTTAATTTTTTTTTTTTTTTTTTTTTTTTTTTTTCTCATCAGCAAAACAAAAACTGATCCGGAGCCAGGATTCCTGTAATGTACACACGCTCGCGGAGAGGGGAGGAGGAGGGAGGGAGGCGATTGAATATGTAAATAGTTCAAGGTTAATTTTACTATGTGAGTCACCGGGAAAAATGTCATCCAACATCTGAGCTTATTATAACAGGGCTCAGAAAAAAACACCACGCCTCGATGTTTGTTATTAAAGGGAGCAGGACGTATTTGACAGCAGCACATCCCAAGCCTCTGTCAGGGCTTTCTTCTCCCCCTCGCGCTTTTCCCCGTGCTTTAAACGACACCCAGAGAAACGACTGGCCTCTCCAAAGGCACACACGGGTTTAGGGAGGGTATTTTTAGCGCTCGCTTCGTATCGCCTACGGTATATAGATATCTCGGGATGATCTTCCCGACGGGACGGGACTCTGCGTGCTGCCAAGTACCAGCCGCGTTTCGGCGCGAGCCTCGCCGTTGGCACCAACCTCCCCGCCGCACATTTATATCCGCGCGGGCAAATTTATAGCTGCTACCTAATAAAGGTCCCTGCTGGCGAGAACGGGCGAGGAGCCGCCGCTTTTTCCGTCCGCCGCTACCTGCAGAGTCACCGCCGTCCCCGCCTCAGCAAGGTGACGAGGAGGGGCAGACCCCAGATTGTTTGATTTCCCCTAAAAGGAAGGGCCGGGCAGCGCCGCGGGTGTTGGAGGCGGCTGGTGGAAGCGGGATGCCCGGGAGGGTGCCGGCGAGCATCCCCGGCAGCTCGGCTCGCGCTGGCGCCGCCGCCTCCCTCCCCTAAAGCCAGGCTTGGCTAGGCGGGCCTGAGGACAGAGCTCGTCTAGTTTCAGCCGCCATCACCCCAACAGGACCCCCCGACACCCATTCACTTTAATTACTTTATTGGGGAGGAGAAATAGGCTCTCCAGTTGTAGCACTTCGGAGGGTAGGAAGTAGTAAAACGTCCCAAAGGCTCCTCTGCCCGCCCGCCCTTCGCCGGGGGGGCTGCGGCCCCCCGACAGCTCCCGCCTCCCAAACCAGGTCCCCAACGGGCGGGGGCCGAGCGGCTGCGGGGAGGGGCGCGCCGAAAACACGAGCTGTAACCCCGGGAAAAAGAAGGGGAAGGGGAAAAGAGGAGCCGCGAGCATCCTCTGGAGGAGGAGGATGGGTAAAGGAGGAGAAAGATGGGAAACGGGCGATTTCCCGCGGCCGCGCGGCGAGGGGAGTGGTGGGGGAGGACGGGCTGGGGGCAGCAACGTTTCGGCACAACGGCCCTGCCGGCACGACGGCCACCTCTTCCCCTCCCTTCCCCAGCACAGGGGATTAATAAAATTTTGGGATTATATATTATTAACAGGCTGTAATTGGCGAGAAGGTGGAAGGGGGGGGGGGGGAGGGGGGCAGGCCGGAAATATGGATTAAAAAAAAAATTGCCAAGTAAATTTATGCACTGTCGTCGCTTTACTACCTAATTAATTCAGTAATTTCAAAAACAATTTTATTTATGTTCCATTTACCACATCAAAAGTGCAAAGAAAAAAAAGCACCAAACCACAGTGATGCTAAAATAATACCTCAAGGCATCTATTTTTAATCAGCGGGAAAAAAAAAAAAGAGGGGGAAAAAAAAAAAAAAAAAAAAGAGAAAAAAAAAGAGCCGGCCCCGGTTTCTATACAATCTCTGTCGGGCAGACCACCAACTCGGGGAGAGCGAAGCAGCCGAGCCCTCCGCGAGTGCCTTCCTGGCTGCCGAAAACAGAGCTTGTCAAAAAAAAACAAATCCATAATGGCCTGAGGCTCCTCTCCAATCTATTTTCTGCTCAGCTGGTTTTAAATGAAGTTATTATGAGTCATTAAAACACCCGCAAGCCTGTGGAAGTCAGCCAATTACAATTTTAAATTTAGCCTGTTCTCTACCCCATTCTCTTGTTTTCTTCTTTTGCCCACATCAAGCTGCTTTTTTGATTTTTATTATTGCTGTTATTATTATTATTTCCCTTCTCCCCTGTTTCACCCGAGTGGAAGAGACAGTCGTGAAGATCTCTGCGCTCAAAAAAAAATACAGGGGAGAAGCCCAAGCAGGGCCCAAAAAAGACGGAGCTGGCGAGAGGCGATGGGCTTCGAGGGGCCAACGGCTTTGCCTCCTCTTTTCCCCCGGTGCCCTCGCAAGGCAATAATCGAACGTGGGGAAGGACGCGAGGCGCGGGCGCGTGAGGAGCCCCGGAGGGACTCGTGAGCCCAGCGCCAGCCTAAGCCAGGCGAGAGGACGAGCCCAGCCCGCGCCCACCCGGGGGCTTCTCCCCGCCGAGCATCCCCCGTGTCGGAGTGGCCGCCCCGGGGGGGGTCGGGGGAGCACCCGGAGCCCCCGGCGAGGGGCTGGGGGCGGGCGAGGCGGGGAGCCCCTGGCCCACGCCATCGCCCCAGCCGTGGCGGCGGGTGGAGCAGGGGGGGTACGGTCGCATAAATCAATAAACAAGCAAACAAACCTGGAAATAAACCCCAGATTTTTAGCCTGGTCGCAGGAAAAGGGAGATTTTCTTACATAATTCCCCCTTTCCCTCCGCCCCGCGAGGGCTGCTCTCCCCGGCAGCCGCCTCTCGGCGGGGAAAAAATGACAAACCCCATCGAAAGCCCCGTCAGCCCCGCACGGCGAGCGAGCACGGCGCGTACTGCACAGCCCATAAAACTCCAAACAGCCTCCAGACACTCCTGCAATCGTCCTCCATCAAAACACTTTGTCTTGCATACAGAAATGCGGCGGGGCGCCGCGCGGAATACCAAATCAGCCCGTGACGGTGCGGGGAGGCGGCTCCTTGGCAACCGGGGGGGCTGCACAGCCGCGCCGCTCGACAGGAAACAAAATCTGTCAAGCCTGTTGGGCAAATGATAAACATTAGCGGTATTAAAAAAAAAAAAAAAAAAAAAAAACGAAAAAAAAAAACAAACCCACAACACAAAAGCTGCATAAATGGCTGGCGAGCGCGCGGGGAGGGATGGGGAAGGATGAGGGGGCTCTCATCGCCCCGTTTACCCTCCCCGCCCTGGGAGAGGGGGGTCTCCGGCCCCCCGCGGGAAGTTTGGGAAGTTTCCCCCATCCGGCAGAAAGGTGGGGGAAGCGGGTGGGCGGCGAGGGGCACGGGCGCTCGGCGGCAGCGAACGCAGATGGAGGGACGGGGAGATGCATTTGGTGGAGGGGGGGGGGGGGGGGCCTGGCACCTCGCCTCGCACCCCACCTTCCGTAAGGAGGGACGGCCCAAGGAGGGGAGCGGGGAGAGCTGGCGGCGGGTGGAAAATAAATATATTTCATCAGGTAAGGGCTGGGGGGCGGGGGGGAAGGAAGCAGCTGGCTCTGACCCAGCGGCCGGGTCCAGGAAGCCAGCCAAAACAGGAGCTAAAAAGCGAACCATCTTCCTCTGGTCTCAGCTCGGGCTCTCGAGGCAGAGAGGATGGGGAGGGAGGGGGGGACGAGAGAAATGTATTTTTCATCAGCCAGTGTATAATTTATAAACAGCATTAAACAGTTTTTGTTTTCTTTCTTCCTCTCCCCCGTGTGCGCGGCTTGGCCGGCAGTCAAGCCTGCATTAATTTCTGCTGTGGGTACAGTGTGTTCTTGGATGCACATCTGCGGATGATCATAAACGCGGGAACGCTGGCAGAACATCCAGACCTGCCGGCAGGCCGCTGACATCACCCGGGACCGAGCGCGGGACGCCGGCCAGCCGGGGCCGGGGGGGGCCGCGGCGTCCCCGGGGACCGGCCGGGGGCAGCGGGGCCGGAGCCGCCCCAGCACCCCGCCGGGGGGACAAGGGGTGATGCTCCGTGGCGAGGGGGGTGGCGGCGGGGTGGGGGGGGATGTGCCCTTCTACCATCCCCGTGTGCCGGGTCCTGCTCCCCGAGCACGCCCGGTGGACCCAGGTGCTTCCCCCCCCCCCCCAAAACGAGCACATCTGGGTGGGGAGGGAAGGCGCTGGGGTGCCCACGAGAACCCCTGGTGCGGCGAAGGGCCGCAGCGTCCATCTCCGCAGCAGGGGCAGCTGCCGGCTGGAGAGGCAGAGCGAGGCGGGGAGGGCCAGGGCAGAAATCTGCTTTTCCCCCTCTCCCGGGGAGGGAACCCAACGCGAGGCAGCCGCTGGGTGACGGGCGTCCCAGGGGGGAAGCAAGCGCGCCCACCAAGCATCGGCTGCGGCGAGGGTGGGGGCGAAGCGGGGAGCAGCCCTGGGCGCGCCGGGCGCGAGCCACCGCGCTCCCCGAAACCTCCCTGCTCTGGGAGAGGGGCAGCTCTCGGGATTGTCTTCCGAGGTTTCTGAGGGTGTGCCGCAGGCAGGAGCGGGCAGCTCCTCGGGGAGAGGCTCTGAGCAGCGTTAAGGGCTTGATATTTACGCTTTATATCGGAGTGTCAACATCTGGCTCAGTATTTACCTTGCACCTGCAAGGCTGCTGCGATAACAGCGCCGGGTGCCCACCGTGTCGTGGGGACACCGCATCCCCCCCCCACCTGGGGTGGTCCCCAATTTGTTCCTTAATTTTAAATGCACCTTTAGCACCATAAACGCTTGGTTAAGGAAGCCTGGGATGCCGACCTCAGTTAAACCCAGTGTTTGCTGCCTTTAGCATCGAGGGCTGCTGGGGGGCGGGGTGTGCCCCACCGCGGTGCCCCCCCCCACGGGGCAAACTCCCTGTTAAACGCGGGGTCCACGGGCGCGGAGGCAAGCTAACCCCCCGAGCCCCGCCGCTCCGGCACGACCTCGCTGCATCCCGGGCTGGTGGAGGGGGGGAGGCGAGGGGAGAGGTGCAAAGGTCTCCTGCTTTAATAAATAACAGCGCTGGAATTTGCGGCGGCTGTTTGCGAGCGCAGGGCAGAGCTCTCCCCACCCCCACCCCCCGCCCTTGCTGGATAAAAAAAAAAAAGTAAAAAAAATAATAATTAATCCTGCGCGATGACAAGCTTGGCTCGGCATTCACTGTACATACTGTACCCACAAAGCTGGCGGCCGGCCAGGGACGGGCCGCGAGCCAAAGCGACCATAACAAACATGAGCCGCGCGCGCCAGCGCCGGAGCTGGGGGGGACCAGCACATCCCGCAGCCCAGTGATGGGGGGACACACCAGCAACCCGAGGGGGCCCAGCCCCAGCATCCCACCGCGGCCTGCCAGCACCCAGAGGAGCTGGTGCCCACCCCCCCCCCCCCCCCCCAAGAAGCGGTGGGGTGGGGATGGGGTCTGGGCTGGCTCCGACGCCCTGAAAAGCTGAACCCTTCTGGGCAGGAGGAGCGGGGGGAAGGCAGCCCCCCTCGCTCCCTCGGGTAGGGGCAAGGCACGTCCCTGCCCCTCGGCGTGGGCAAGGGGCTGGGGGAAAAACGAAATCTGAACGTGGGGGGAAACAAGTAAAATAAAAAGACATAAAACCCCATAAAATAGAATACAGCTTCCTTGCACAGGTCCCGGCCAGCACAGCTCCGGCACCCACCACCCAGAGCGATCTGCCCTCGAGCGAGTGGCACGAGGGCTCCCACCCGTGTCGGAGCACGGGGGGGGGGGGGGGGGGCGGGGGGGGACGACCGGCGCCTGCCTGCTTTTTTTCACGTTATCCCCCCAGGCGCAGCGGGGCTGCAGGCTCAGGGGGGAGATCAGCCTACAGCGGCTTGCAGAGCACAAGCCCTCCCAGCAGCGCAGCGGTCCAGCCCTTCCCTATCTATTTAATTGAAGGGCCCGCATCACGTGAACCTGCTAGTTAGATTCATTAAGGCGGAGAACGCCTGATTCCGCAGCAGTTTCACTGATGAGACTGCGGCGGGCGCGGGTACGCGAGGCGCACGGTGCCAGTGCGAGGGCGATGCTCGCGCGAGGAGCAGGGCTGGGCGACCGGCAGCTGCGTGGCACGCCGAGTTTGTTACTCCGAGCTGCTTAGCCCGGAAAACATTTCCCCGCTTAAGGGACTGAAAGCAAACGCCAAAAGAGGAAAATTAAAATAAATCAGATTACGGGCCACTGGTGAAGCAGTCTGCGATGCGCTGTGCTGGGCAGGGTACAGCCGGCGCCGCAGGCATCTCCGGCGGGCAGGGTGCGCGGGGTGGGTGGCCGCGGAGAGCATCCCCCCCCCCCCCGCCCCAGCCCCGAGCATCCCCCCCCACTTCCAACCCACCTGAGTGAGCCAGTAAGTGCATTCGCAGCCGCAAGCTGTCCAGGAACCGCTTCCCGCACAGCTCGCATCCGTACGTCTTCATCCCGCTGTGCAGCTTCCTAGGGGAGAACAGAGAGGGGTGAGTCCTCCTGCGGGCAGGGGCCAGGTCGCCCCAACCAACGCCGAGAAGCTTCCCAGTATTCCACGCGCCCCACGCATCGCCCGGAACGGTTCCGGCCCGGGGAGCCCCGAAGGAAAGGCACGGACGGGAGGTCCTGCGTGACTCCCCAGCACTGATGAGATTACCTTCTCCCGTTTAATGTTTCTCATCGTTACTATAGATGGAGTCTTTTAACAAACCTGATAAATGTGAAATCTGGAATTAATGCAAAATACGTGTTGGCAAACTCCCTCCCTACACCCTGAGCGCTTTTGAAACAGGTACTGTACTCCAAGAAAAAAAATCAATTTAAGAGGTTGTTTGTATGCATTTCTAACCGAATCCCAGTTTCCATCCCGATTCAGCATGACACGGCTCACAAGCGGAGAGCTTAACCACCAGCTAGCAAACAGGAAACATGCCACTCACCGTTTCCTGGCACCGCGAGGCGCAAGCGGAGCTGCACCCCGGGCGGCATTGCACAACCCCCCGGCCGCGTCGCCCACTCCGTGCCACGCCACGGGGCCCAGCACCCCCACGGCCCGGGGAGGGGGCTGCGGCTGGGCTGCAACGCCCACCCCCCACATTGCCCCCCCCCCGCCCCCCCGCTCTGGGGACGCTGCTGCTCCAACGACCCCCAGCAGGTTGGAGCTCCGTGACCTCGACGAGGCAACATCCGTGCGGAGCATCGGCCAAGCCCACGACCGCCAGCCCCCCCAGCTGCTGTCACGCTCCCCGAGCATCGGTCCCACCCGAGACCACCCCCCTCCCGGGGATGTGTGTGTCCCCCCCGCCGCAGCCACTCCGGATACGCGGCGGCGGGACGGCACGCAGCGCCCGAAAGGCGGTGCCGGGCGATGAAGGGATGCTTCGGCGAGGCAACCCGGCTCCGCGCTCGAGCGCGGCGCTGATAAAAAAGCCCCCCAAGCCCCACGGGCTTCCAGCCAGGCACGCTGGCCGCTGCCCGCGAGCCACAGCCCGGCTAGCGCGCGCCGCTCGCGCCGAGGGCCGGGCAGGGCTCGTGACGGGAGCACGTGCGAAGTTTCAACATCGGACGCTGTAAACAGAGAAGTATTTGGATGTGTTTGAGGAGTAGCGCAGCGGAGCGCTGCGTGCCGACCTCTGCTCGCATCCACCGTTTATCATCCCTCCATGACGAGGCGAGTGCGTTGTTATTGCCTCGTTGCCAAAGCCGAGCCAGAAACGGTCCCGGCCAGGGCTGGATGGTGACCCCGCCCGCCCGGCAATCCCGCTCGGGGGGTGCTGAGCGGCGACGCTGGAAGGGCCGCACGGTGGGAGGGGACCCTGGGATGTTCTGCCCCGGGCGAACGCTGCCGAGCAGAGAGGAAAAGAGCAGGAGCTGGTTTCAGCTCTCAACTTTGCTGTATAATGTAATTATTAATCAGGCTTGTCCTGAATTCACTGTGTCATAGCGGAGGATTAGGAGTCATGCACGAATTCAGGCCAAGGAGGTTTACAATCCAAAGGATTTATCCGCCCTGCGAAAAGAAGTAAAACACCAGCCTCCTGACAGACTGCTGCTGCCAACAAGCCAGCTAAATAAGTGACAACCTTCTCATTTCGCATTTTTAATTAGGGACATGGCTGTCACACTTCCCCGGCTCAGGCTGAGCTCGCTTCTGCACTTAAAGCCGGGTCTAAACCGCTTTGTCAGGAGGAGAGCAGCATCCCCCCTTGTCAAAGTTGCGGTGGCTCGCCTCTTTGAGTCTAGAACGCCTTTTCGGTGAATTAAAGTGTAATTGCTTAATTAGTTCGAGTAAAACTTCGAGGCTTCGCTTTTTTTTTTTTGTTTGTTAGTTTTTTTTTAAAGTGAGCCTCAAGAAACAGAGCAGAAACCAAAGGACAAGTTTCCTTTCTCTGCATCACCCAAGCCTACAGAAACATCCGCGAAAGCAACGCTGCGCCCAGCACGGAGCCCCGGCCGCCGGGGCGGCTCAGAGCGGGACCTTCCCGGGTCCTGCCATTCCTTCTCGCCCCCGTAACGGCGCGACGGACGAGCGCTCGCCACCTCGCACGGTGCACGGACCGGCAAGGCCTCCCCCCCAGAAAGGGGGGGGGCGGGGGGAAACGTGGACCGAGGAGCCCCCCCAAGATCCGCCGCCGCCATCCCACTCGGGCGCCGCGACTTCCCGCAGCCGCGTAACCTCCGCGCTGCTTTAACGCGCCGGGGCGCTCGCCGGGTAATTTATTTGCAATATCTCTATCAACAAATTTCAGCAGCAACAAAAGTTTTCCATTCGGCGCCTGCTTATAGGACGATCTTATCGCTCGCCATCTTGCACGGTCCCTTTCAACAAGGTCTTAAAGCGCTTTATCTGCTCGGTTTCCCGGTAGCAAAATATGATTGAAATGTTCTATTTCTGCTCGCCGGATTAAGGAGATGTTGCAAAACTGCACAAAAACCCGGCAGATGTAAGCAAGGTATTACGGCTGCCCGGGCTGTTAAGATCTGAGGGGAAAGATCAATATGTGCTTGTAAAGTTGTGCCTCTAGAAAGGGGCGGGGTGGGGCGGGGGGGGGAAGTTAAGGGCGTTAGAATACATCACGGCACGGTGCTGCGGCCCGCACTCGAGCTCAAAAAGCTAAACTGCGCTTTATTATTCCAATCTGCCGCTGAAATTACGCTCCACGCGCTCCCTTTTTCTCCCGCAAGGTCCCTCCAAGCAAATCAGCCGAAAAGACGCCCGCGGGCCGAAGAGCTGTGGCGATGGGGAAGAGCGCCTTTTTTGTAAAAAGACAGTTTTCCTCTACAACTCCCGCTCGACGCAACGCTCGCGGCGCTCAAACGCGAAGCCGGCCAAAGCCTCCAGCTCGTGCGACAGCGCTGGAGGATGCCCCGGCCGGAGCTCTGCCCGGGGAGGGGGGGAGGCCGGCGCGGGGCATCCCGAGCGGGCGGCGGCGCGGGGGCTTGGCGAGGGGCTCTCCAGGCGGGATGTAAACCGGCGGTGGGGTGAAACCCCCTCCCCGCCCAGCGCCGGCAAACAAAAGCCGGGCAGGAGGCTGGCCCCTCGCAAGCTGCCGGTAATTAAAAAGGCCTGTAAATGCCCCGCAAAAAGCACTTCAAAGGGACGGCGACTCCAGCGAGACCGCGCGGTGTAAAAATTATGAGTTTTCCCCACAGGGTGCTTTGTGTGAAAAGGCCGGGATTGGTGGCAAACGCCGCTGCCCGCTCCCGGGGGACGCAGGGGCTCGGTGCAGCGTCCCGGGGGCACGGGCACCGGTGCAGCCCTGGTACCCAGAGACCACCGCAAGCCAACTCCTGCCCTGCCCGCCGCAAAACCCGCCTCAAAACGCCTTCTGCTTTTTGTATTTAAGGGGCTCTCGTTACCCGGGCTTCTCCCCGTCGCCCCTTTTGGAAACTGGGGAGGAGACCCCCTCCCCTCCCCTCCCCGGCAGACAAGACACATGGCTTTTGGCTGTTTGATTACTTTTAAGTGTATATTTCTCCCCTCAAACAGAGTGAATACAATAGTTAGGAAATTTGACAGAAAACTATTCCGAGCCATTTATTGCCTTAATGCGCACCTTTGTCCAACAGGCAGTTTTGACAGGAGCGATAAATTCCAAATTTATGTCAACAGAGCATATGTTGAACACCTCATTTCTGAGCTAAAGCGGCATGCTGCCCCATAAATCACCCTTCTGTTTGAAATGAAAGTAGATTACGGGCCCGTGTTATTGAGCAGTTAGAGCCATAGTCGTATAAATCAGAACTTTTAACTCCAGGCGATCCATTCTGCAATTAACTAAAGGGCACTTTGTCATCTCCGGGCCGGGGCGCAGCTTGGCAGGGCACACGGCTACCGGGGAAAGGCAGAAAAAAAAAAAAACAAAAAAAAAAAAACCCCCAAACCCTTATCGCCAAGGAGAGCAGCCGAGTTTTGCTCGATACCTGTTGAAGCAGCCGTGCCGGAGGCGCAGCCCGGAGCGTGAGAGATGCTGCTCCGCAGCCGGGCCTCGGGACATCGGCGCCGAGGGGCTTGGGGGGGGGGGGTCGCGGGGCCCTGCCCACATCCCCCCAACCCGGATTTTGGCAGCCGGTTCTGGGGGGGGGGCGTGGGGGGGGGGAATCGTGAGGCCAGCACGACACGAGCACCAGACCAAGGGCCGAGCCGGGAGCGCGGGCAGGAATCGGGGGTCCCGAGGCGGTTCGGGTTCCAGCTCCCGGCGCGATGCCCCCGGTCCTGCCGCGCTGCCCGGGGCCGCGGTGCCGGGGGCAGGTTACCGCCCGCGCGAGCGGCAGCGCTATAAAAAGATTCAGACGCTAAGTATTTCCTTTCCTATAAAATATTCATTGCCGCGCGCGAGAGCCAGGGAGCAGAAACCTCAGGCGGTTCGAACTTGGTGCCGCAGCAATAACCGAGTTTTATAGGAGCCTTCTGATTTTATTTATACGGGGCCGCAGCTGCGGGGCCCCGCCGCCGCCCCCAACACCGGGCCGGCGCAGCTCCGCACCCCCGGCGCTCGATACTTGCCCCCCAAACCCTCCCCGCCACCCAATTTCCACCCGCACCTCCCTCGCCCGGGTGAATCGATATGAAAATCCATTCGTCCCCCTGATCGGCTTTATCAAGATCCCGGCGGCGGTGCCACATCTCATTTGCAGCGGGGATCTGCGGAAAGCCAAGGTCAGCGGGCAGCAAGCCGTCTGCAGAAACCACGCTGCTCTACATCCTCCGATAAGGGTTTTACATCCGCGTGGCAGAGAGGGCGATTTTCCACCCCCCCCACCCCCCCCCTCCAACCCCGACACGATTTATTTACGACGCTCGGTGAGACGGGGCCGCGGGATGTGGGGCTGCGGAGGCTCCGCTCCCGCACCGTCACCGCTCTGCCCCCATCTCCCAGCCCGGCGGATTAAAATAGCAGGGAGAGCTATTAAGGGCACGGGGAAGGGAGTCAAGACCTTCCTTTCGGTTTAATAAATTAAGAAGGGGG